GAACTGTTCCTGTATGTGTGAGGACGTGAGCCTTAGCGCCCCCTGTTGTAACGCCTTGCATGTAACACCTTGTATGTGTGAGGACGTGAGCCTTAGCGCCCCCTGTTGTAACGCCTTGCCTATTGCTTTCCAGGAGCTGAACAGCACGACTCTAGTGACCCTGAAAGTGGATCCCAATGGCTTCTTCCTCTACTGGATGGCCGCCAACATGGTCAGTGCTGGTCATTGTCCCCGGCTGTCCCTGTCCCCGGCTGTCCCTGTCTTCGGCTCCTCTCCTCCTCCCTCTGTCTCTCTCACTCCAGGCTGTGTTCAGCTTGTTTAATCTGTCCTTCCCCTCTTACACTTTCTTTTCCTAATCAGTCTTTTCATTTTCTGCCTCTCTCTATCTCTCTCTCTTGCTCTCTCTTTCTTTCCCCTCTATCCTGCCCCCCCACCACCAATTAGTCAGGCAGGGCCGTCATGTGAAGCCTCATGAATCGAATCAAATTTCAGGCCCTGAAATTAAATCAGCTCTTCTGTCACCCTCCCCCTGTACCTCCCTGCCTATAAGCTGCTCCCCCTCCCCTCCTCTAGCCCTCCCCCCCCCCTTCCCCAGTATCTTTTTTTCTTTTTTGTCTTATATATATTTGCCCTAACAGCTTGTGTGGTATGCTCACTGTTAAATGATGGTGTGCATTAGCCGTGTGGTGGGGGGACAATTTTTCAGTGGCGTTTGATGTCATTGTGTCGGTGTGTGTAGGTGTGTGTGTCTGGGGGGGAAGGGGGGGGCTCTATTAGCACACTAGGCCACTCAGTGCCTGAGGAAAGGCAATGACACTGTTTTGTGTTGCCAGATAGCAGAACCCTTTGCGGAGTTTATAGTAAAGAGGACATCTCTCTAGTAACCACAATTTTTTTCTATTACAGATAAAGATTCTAAAATTATATTTAGTATTGCTATTATTATATTTCTCATTACTTTCGTTTTACTGCTCCCTGTCAATGACTTTTATATATATATAAAAAGCATGTTGGAGGTCATTAGAGGTCAGTCGCCTGTAAATTCTTCTCTGTCTCTCTCCCATGTTTCTCTCTCTGCCGCAGCATCCCCACGCATCTTCAAACTGCCCATTTATTATGTCCAATCCGCCGTGTGCCCATTATGTCAGAACACAGTGACTGTGGGTAACTCAGGCCTGCACTGCAGATATTAATTACACAGGTTTATCTGTGCCTGATCGCGGGGGCAAAATGCTGTAGGTGCGTAAAAGAATGGAAGAGGTCAGTTAAAACATGAACCAAAAATAAATCCAAAGGTTATGGCATCAGCATAATTGTTTGAAGTTGAATCAAAAGCGAGGAAGCTTTATAGGAGGGAAATATCTGAGTAGGTTTCCGGAGCCAACCACAAAGACTGGGAGCACCTTTTGTCTGGAAAGGAAGGCACACCTATGCTGTGTTGTTTACTGCGGCCCAGTGACAGGGTGTAACCATACAGGTCACTCAAGCTCTGATTCACACAAGTGAGCCTCCATGACTGAGGGGGGCGCTGTCCCTGTCACTCTCGATACGGTGTAGTAGCACTGTTGGTGAAGCGCAGTGTCCAGTCAGCATTAATCACTTTCTGGCAGTACTGCGTTTGTTTAATGAGGGGAAGTTGGTTTGATTTGATAGATCTGCTATGTGGTGACGAGAAGAGGCGTGTCAAATCAAATGAGCCTATTGGCTTGGTATCATTCACTACATATTCATGAGGGATTAATAATCCAAGTCCGTGCACAAGCCACGTCACAGAACAGCCAATGAATCCGTAAGTGCTTTGGCGTTTTGTGGAAAACAGTACGGAACTCCTGGTCATGAGAAATGTACTGATGTGAAAATCATGATCATGTGATTCCCCCCCCCGAGACAGAGTATAATTCTATAACCCCCCCAGGGCCCTGTTTATGTCGAGTACTGTCCAGTGCCCTCCCCCTTTCCGCCCCTTTCAGGCTCTGCATCTGCATCGAGCCAGCTGGTTATCATCAGCTGAAAGTAGCCTGTAAACTGAGGGATGGCACTTCCTCTCACTGCTCTTCATCTCTCTCTCTCTCTCTCTCTCTCTCATACACACACCCACACACACACACTCACACACTTTTTCCCGCCCATGTTTCCCCTCACTTTCTGTGACTTAGCGTGGGAAAGTGAGCAGGAAATCGTTCAGACAAGCTACAACCTCCTGGAGCTGAAGGAGCTTCTCTCCTTTCTGTTCTACCTCCTCTGCTCTCGTTCTTCAGCTTCTCTTCTCTTCCTCTGTCTCCTTCCCTCCTGTCCTTCCATTTCTTCGCTTGTCTTTCTTTTTGTGCCTTCGCCGTTCCGGTGAACCGAGGTACTTCTCGATGAACGTGACCCGAACCTGCCTCCACTTCCCAGAATGCCCGGCGCCTCTCCGCACAGACCCTGCCGCTTCAGGCTAGGCCTGGCTGAAAGGAGGAAGAGGCCCAAACACGTGGGCTCCTAGCCGGAGGGGGGGTATGGGGCCTCTGTGGCAGGCAGCGGTTACATAGTGCTGAGTATGTCAGCACTGCTCCCCCACGAAAGGTCCTGCATCCCTACTCCCATGACAAATGCATGCTCAGAAAAGGCTACTGAGACAATGAGAGAGGGAAGTGAGAAACGAGAGAGAAAAGAAAAAGAAAGTGGGTAAGAAGCAAGGCTGTATGGCTGTCTGTTTGCCCCACTGCCTTCCCCGATAGCAGCTGCCCCTCTGACGTAGCACTGCACCAATCCCATCACTGTCTTTCACTGCTCTTGGTTATATTGGTAATTAACAACACAAGCATATTAATCTGCTCCTCATGAACAGACACACTCATAATCACACACACACACACGCACGCGCACACAAGCACTCACACACACACACACACGCGCACACAAGCACTCACACACAGTCACACTTGACACATGCCAGAGGGGAAGTGACTGTGCTGCTTGATAATGTAACAGTTTCCTCTATCCGTCTCAGACATTTTCCTGGCATTTCACTGTCACCCCTCACACACACACACAGGCACACGCGTGCACAGGTACACACACACACACACACCACATGTGTGTACCTGTGTACACACATATTCAGTCCACATATTCATATTTTTGTGGGGACATTTCTATGAGCACAACACTAAACTCTAATCTGATTCCATAATGTAATAAGGAGATACAAAGAAACACTGAACCTGCCTGTTCTTACTCGTGCATTTTTGTGCGCCCACACCTACACCCCTAACCCACATCTACACCCCTTACCCACACCTACACCCCTAACCCACACCTGCACCCCTAACCCACACCTACACCCCTAACCCACACCTGCACCCCTTACCCACACCTACACCCCTAACCCACACCTGCACCCCTTACCG